AATTCTTTTTTTAAAAGCTGACAGAACTCAGCTTTAGTATCTATTTTAGCTATGACAATATCATCAAAGATATTCTTAATACTACTTTTCTACTTAATACATGAGTTCTAGTAAATTTGAAAAGTTTTACTTCAAATTCCAGTACAAAGTTTTAAACAAGTGATTTATCTAAAGTTTTTGAGGGTTTTTTAAAAAAATATTGAAACAATCACATCACAGATTCATAGATCCACAAAAACGAAGTTCATAGCTGAACGAAGAAAAACAAAAGACAAACACTTAGAGAAAATCTAAGGCTTTTATGTGTTCCCAACTTTCGTAAAGTTGCACTCCAAAAAAAACGTAGGCGTTCACGGAATTTCGAAAAAAACATAAACGTGACTGGTTTGGTTTATATTTTGGGAGAGATTTTGAAGAAATCACTTAAATAATTAATGAAAGATTCATGAATTTCGAAGCAAACGGTTGAAATCTTGAATGTTTTAAAGGTTTTAAAGGTTTTGAGAGAAATTTGCGAAAGAAGCTTTTAACTGAATAACTTTAAAACTGATTTTTGTGTGCTAAAGACATTCTAGCTATTTTAAAAATTTTAAAATACTGTGTAATATCTTTGGCAAAGGACTTTCAGTGTTAGACATTGTTTTGAAAAAAATCTAGAATACTGGAAAAACCTTTGAGAATAGATTATGGGGTTTTTTTTGGGCAGAAAGATGGATGGACAGGAATAAACAAGCCCCGAAAGCCCATTTTATTTCCACAATGAGTACTCCATCATGTGACCAGTGGCTTAAAGAAAATATGTTTTGATTCAATCGTACTAAATGCCGCCATGGTCGACTGACTAAGAGCCATTTATCTTAGTCAGAGGGTCAATGGTTCAACCCCGTCGGCTGAATTATTGGTTCTTTCTTCCGTATATATGGGTTTTCCCTACATTTAAGGGTTGTGATTGCTTGTACCGTAAATACTCTAATGGAAGCGCACCTTCTAATGGAAGCGCACCTTCTAATGGAAGCGCACCTTCTAATGGAAGCGCACCTTCTAATGGAAGCGCACCTTCTAATGGAAGCGCACCTTCTAATGGAAGCGCACCTTCTAATGGAAGCGCACCCTTCCCATACAAAATTGGTCACCCAAAAAGTCATTACTTTTGAGAAAGAGTTTTGCTGAAAAGTGCTTAGAATGATGTATATGGGCATATGTATAACCTAGAAGGGTTAGCAGTAAAATTTAAAAGGATCTAAAATAAAATCAAAAATACTTTTTCGAAAAAAAATTGTAAGGGGGGACCCTTATCATTTTCGAGAGTTCGACCTCCAAAAGTCAAAAGTGAAAAAAATTTTCTTATTTTAAACATGTTTTTCCTTTGTTTTAAATCATTTTCAATCGAGCTAGAGTGATTTTAAAAGATTTTTTTGAAAATTGTATATGGTCCCCCTTATGTAATTTTTTGGGGAGTCCGAAAACAAAGATAGAGAAAAATTAGAAGCGCATGCGCTTTTATTAGAGTATTTACGGTACCACATTATTCGTTGAGTAAATGTACTACGCTAAAGTATTAGCCTCGATATCGAACATCAAGGTAATCTTCGGAGCTTACTCTTTTGATTGAACCCAAATTTGAATGCGATTTGAAATATGTGATGCGAATTCGCAAGTGCACAATCAATCAATATTGTTAACAATGTGAATCCCAAGATGTTTATGAAGATCTCTTTTAGAAGAAAACTATAGTTTTTAACGAGATCTTAAGGATCAAAATGTTTGCATTTAAAAATTTGCACAAATTGTCTCAGTTCACCAGTTCCTTGCATGTTATTAGGTTGGAAAGAAAGTTCTCGGAAAAGGTTTGACTGGAATTTCTTAAAAACGAATCCACCAATTCAAGAACATTTTGTTTTATTATTTACAAGTCGACTCCAAGAAATTACTCTTAAAAAAATGAGTTCCCTTGAAATTTTCGAGATCTTTGAAAAGTTATTATTTTCCATTATGTCAACCTAATATTAGATTTTGTTCATTTTGTAGGATTTTCTTACTACCAGCTAGTCATTTACTTAAACTGTTTCATATTCATCTAACATAATACTTCGCGCCATTTGTTTCCCTAAAATCGCGACTTATCGCAGGGCTTTTATAACCTATTGCCGGCCTTTGCTCGAGTATGCCATCATCGTATGGTCTGATCTGATGTAGAAAGAACTGCGAGGAGATTATCACGGGATCTCAAAGGAAATACTCGAGATTTTTATCTAACTTTGCCCGGAATGTGAATTAAAGAGGGGGACGCCAAAAAAGGAGTTATTGTGAAGCCGATCATAACGAAGGAGCAAAATGAACGCTGCCAAGTCGACTTAATTGATCTTCAATTGGTTCCGCATGCATTTTAGTTGATGTTTTGTTTGTTATAAACGTTAATATGTTATACATGTTAAATGTTATAAATTTTATTTTACTTGTTGTGATTAGTTTGCTGATTTGCGTTTTGCATAAATAGTTTGAAATTAGAAACTCATTTGAATCGAGCCATGTTCGCAGAAGCCGATTACAAATTGTACTAGCCGTTAACGAATGATTCGTAATCGGCTAGCCGTTAACGAATCATTCGTTAGCGGCTGAATTTCGTAAACGGCTACGACATCTACAGGGTGGCTGAAAATTACGTGCGCACAGCATCAGCATCATAGTTTTAAACAATGTATAAAGCATTACTACTCATCTTTTTGTATTTTAATATTCTTTTCATCGTTGTCTAATAATTTTTTGTTAAAAAAATTTGTTTTCTAGGTCATGACAAAGACGTGCGCTAGTCGGGACGCAATCGCACAGCTGGCGACGAACGGCATGAAGAACTCGTCGATCGCATCGAGGCTTGGGGTGGCTCTGAGGACCGTCCAGAAGATCGTAAAGCAATAAAGCAATGGAAAGATGAGGGGCATGTTCAGTCCAAGCCCGGAAGAGAACGAAAGAGGACCGTTAACACCCGAAAGATGCGTGGGATAATCAAGAGGAGGATCGAGCGAAAAGACGATCGTAGTTTGAACAAGATGGCAAAACAGCTTCAAATTTCGCGTTTCTCGGTTCAATCGATAGTGAAAAATGAGCTCGGACTTTGTATATTAATAGATTCTTTTTGTTTTGGCTGATAAATACGACTTTATGATCAGTTCATTGATTGTTTTGATTTATGATTTTCAAGTGGTTTAAAGATATCGTTTAAATTCATTCAAATTAACTTTTTTGGTACGGTTCTATGTGAATAGAGTGATTATTTTAGTCTAGCTTGGTGCTTCTTAAAACTCTTTTGAGTTTTATAAGTATTTTTAGCCTCTGCTAGTTCATCAATCAAGGTCCACGATTGATCAAATCACAGACAAACAAATAAATCATAAACAACACCTTTCTCCCGAATGCCGAATGACTAAATGTTTATTATTCAACGATTTCCCACAGATTTTTCACCACCCGGTGACACTTTTATTTGGGAAGTATTTATAGCAATAGAATAAACATGAGATGTCCCTCTCCAGTGTCAATCTTCACATCATAAAGATAACATTTGTAATTTGGACCCATTAAATGTCTTCGCCTGATCGAAATGCACTTTGAAATCATTAAAAAGCTTCAGTTTTTCAAATCTTATTTGATTATTGAAACAATTTTTACTTAAAATAATAATATAAAGCTCTTTTTATTAATTCTGAAATTTTTCTTGCTTAACCATACTTTATTCAGTTGTTTTTCAAATGACTTTAATTCTTTAACATAAATTTTCTTATAAAATCCTCGTACAATTTCTGTTTTTTTCAACTCATTGCAATTGCCAAAACTTATTTACCAAATCTCTGATGAAATGAAGGCAATTCCACCACACCACGTGTTTCCCTACAGTGAAAAAAGTAGCGATAACGTCAGAATAGGCTTTGTTTCTTTTCTTTTCATTTCTCCCAATTGTCAATCAGGCTTTTCCGCAAAATTTCTCACCAAAGCTGATTTTCCGTTTTTTTTTAATCTCAAAAATCCAGCGGTGATCACCCCATTTTTTCGGTAGTTCAAGCATAAAATTGCATGCAATTGCAGGTTTGAAAGATTTTTTTCAAAAAATTGAACTGAATTTCTTTAGCTTTGTTTAAATTTAGATTGAAACTAATTGATTTAATGATTTATTTTAGTGAAACCATCATTGATTCCTAATGAAAAGCCATACTTTGTCAAAAGATTTGCTTCTCGTAGCTTAAACCAGTCTAAGGTCTAAGTTAAGGTCATTCTAGAACTAGACCAGAGCACGATCATTCCAGATTAGCTCGGGAATATGCACTTATATCAGGCTTTAGGCATAACAGCCTAGTATTTTAGATACCTTGCAATATCTAGAAATCTATCTATTGCAATTTTTTGTCAACATTAATTGCAGATTTGGAATCAGTGTCGAAAACTATCGTATTTTCTCTAATAGTAGTGCACCCTGAGCGTCGCCTAAATTGCTCGAAATCTCGAGAACCGCTTATCAGAACCTATCGATGTGGGGTCGGAAAATGTAGCTGACGATGAGATCTAGTGGGGGATTAGAGTGTTGAGCTTCTGTAAAAGCTTGGAAACCGTAAAATAGTCACTGAACTCAGCTCGCCGGGGTGCACTACTATTAGAGAAAATACGGTCTTAGGTACATTAGCTCTCATTCAAAAACTCCGCTTTAACTTGTTGTCTTTCCTTTCAGACTCGCCTTTCTCAGCTAATTGTAAGTCGGAAAACTTTCAGTTTTTAAAAGTTTAAAGTTTTAAATGATTTGTTTATATCTTAGATAACTATTTTAAGATTTCCTAGCAATGGTAAGTAGTGAGAATTTTATTTCCCTCTCAAAACTCTCTTTCTTCAGCCTACACATCCAATTTCCTTGCTTTCCCAGTTTTTTCACCACATTTCATTTCTTGAGAAATGCTCCTCTATTTCTCAGAAATTGCAGCACAAATCTTCATCATCATTTTATTTTCCCTAACCAAATGAGGACCATTATTTGCTCGATTTTCTTTATTATTCTTCTTCAACAAGTGTATTCAAGAGATTCATCGTTGTGTGGAGAGTGCAGGGTTGGTTTTTTTTAAAGAATATTGGCTTTAGAGAAATTTGGAAAGTTTTCATTATCCAGCTATATATCGAAGTATCTTTTCAGACATATTTCTCGAGATTAATCGATCGAACGTTGATTGAGGACATTGAAATGGACAAGAATTTGGTAAACTTTAGAAATTATCCTTATCTTTAACTGAACTTTTTAAAAGCTTAGCTTCCTTTGCTTAGCTTCCTTAGCTTAGCTTCCTTAAGTTTGGAAATCACGTAAAAATTTCAGTCCGAGAAACTGGTGAAGAAATTTTGCGCAAAGCTGATCCTTCACATTGGATCGCATTTTGAGGCAAAATGTTTTGAGCATTTCAGGTGAGTTAAAAAAGGATTAGAATGTAGAATTTGATAGAATTCTATAGATTCTTTACACAATTCAAAATATTTAGAATGATTACCGATAAGATTTACCCATTATTATACTAGCTTTAAAGCCAATAGTACCTTTGACCTTTAGAAGAGGCTAAAGATACTGAAGTTGTTATAAATTTCTTTCAAACAAATAATTATTTGAATAAATTTAATCAAATAAGTTTTTATTTGAATAATGAGGCAAAGAAACCTTAAATAAGGCGTTCTAAAAAGCGTTCTAAAATCTAATGCTTTAAAAAGCTATTCAGCTTTTGTTTTATATAAGACTTTTCAGATATTCAAGCAAAGGATTGAATAGCTGAAAGCCGTATATAAAGCGCTTCTTGAAATTTTTGGCCATTTTTGGGGTAGGCTAATTTCCGCAATTTTTTTTTGCACAACAGGGTCATTCGCGCAACTCGCCATAACTTTCTTCTAAGTGGATCAATCTTTATGATTTTGGTTTCATTTTGTTGCACTTATTGTGATCTACAAAATGAAACTAAAACCATAAAGATTGGTCTACTTAGAAGAAAGTTATGGCGAGTTGGTTGCGCAAACGACCCAGTTGTGCAAATGACCCTGCAGACGCAAATGGCGCAAAAAAAATTGCGGAGATTGGGAGTGGGACAAATGCGACCTTTTTTTGCGCACCCGGACATTTGCGCACCTTTTTTTCCGCACTTAGCCCATTAGCGCACCTTTTTTCGCGTTTTAAAAAGCTCTAAAAGCTAATATTAACCAATTTCTATTCCATAAGTTGTTTTTCTAGGTAATTTTAGGGCGTAGAATCGAAATTTTGACATATCAGAGCTTGTGGAAGCGAACGGACGGAGTTATACAAAGAGAAAAATCAACAATTTTCTGTAATTTGACCTAGCCGTTTTGTCTTCCAAATTGGTTCCACACGCTCTGTTATGGTCAAAATTTGAATTCGACACCCTCAAATTACCTAGAAAAACAAGTTTTGGAATAGAAATTGGTTAATATTAGCTTTTAGAGCTTTTTTAAAACGCGAAAAAAGGTGCGCTAATGGGCTAAGTGCGGAAAAAAGGTGCGCAAATGTCCGGGTCCGCAAAAAAAGGTCGCATTTGTCCCACTCCCCGGAAATTAGCCTACCTCCCATTTTTAAACTACAGTACTTTTTTTAACTGATAGTGTATTTAAGAATACGTTATTTGAGAGAAACACAATCTAGTTATAATTAGAATTGATTAGATTAAAAACTGATTCGAATTTTATAGCTAAATAATCAAATAAGATTACTTTTCCTGTTTCATTTCCCCATTCAACTATTTAGCCCAATCACGGAAGGCCAAGCAATGTTAACCCCGAAGTTTGCCTTCATCGATCGTGCCTGTTTATCGTGGTGTTGAGATTGAAAATGACCACAAGATGTAAAATATGATCATGATCTCACCTTTTGATAATAAATATACATAAAATTATGCAGATTTATTACTTTTTACACTCAACAAAGCGTGGTTTCATTTTCAAATCTTCCAAAAAGCTTACCAAGCTATCAAACTACTAAAAAGCGTTTTTATTTTTCAAAATTTGCATTCATTTCTTTAAAATCTTTTGTTTATATTTATCTTATAAACAATTGCACAAAAATTTTCCTTATCAAAGTGTTTTTTTTTTCATTTTGACTACCCAATTAATCATTAAGCACAAGTTGAATAGGCTCACGAATTAGCGCTAAAAATTTCCCAAAATTTTAGACCTACTTCAATAAATGTTTCAAATATTAAAGCCAATAAAATTGCAGAAGATAGATCTGGATTGAGAGATTATTGATCTTTATTCAGCAAACTTGTCTAATTTCATTGACATTCTTCATTTCAATCTTGATTTTAAAACTTTTCTTTTACTACAGCTCTTAAACATTATACTATTTTTTGCAAATGAATTTGTTAGTTAGTTTCCTTTGCCTATTACTTTGAATTGCTAAAATCAACAAGAATTCGTTTAAGAATTGCTATCACTGACAATTTCTCTAGCAATTATCCCATCAATCTGCCATAGGAAAACTCAAGAAACAATTATTGATCTAAAAAGTAGCTAAGATTAAGGGCTTCACTATTTTAATATAACACTTCACATATTACGGGTTAAACTTGGCGCTCTGGAGCTAATCTATCAAAAAGAAGTCACCGTAAATACTGAGCACCCTGTATTATCAAAAATTAAAGCCAAGGACAGCTAATATAGGGCAAAAACAGCTAATATACAGGGCTAAAACATCCATTGTAATCTAAATACATCCAAAAAAAGAAACGGCTATTTTTGCATTAAAAGCTTTTCTCCGGGATGAATTTGAATTTCCGGTGGTTAAAAGGAAAAGAAGAAAATGTTAAAACCACAAAAATTTCCATAAAATAGCAGAAGATAGATCTGGATTGAATTATTGACCTTTATTCAGCAAATTTATCTAATTTCGTTGACATTCTTCATTTCAAACTTGATTTTAAAACTTTTCTTTTACTACAGCTTTTAAACATTATACTATTTTTATGCAAATCAATTTGTTAGTTAGTTTCCTTTGCCTATTACTTTGAATTACTAAAATCAACAAGAATTTGTTTCAGAATTGCAATCACTGGCAATTTCCCTAGCAATTATCCCATCAATCTGCCATAGGAAAACTCAAGAAACAATTATTGAACACATCTGCTCAATAAGGCCAAATCAATTAAAAGTTAGTTTTAAATCTCTTCAATTACTTTCCTTACATTATAGCTTTTCTGATCGATTATCCCATCTCAATCCCATTACTTCTTCAATGACTCATTGCTTTCTTTCACTCTCCAATAACCAATATCCAATACTTTACAGAATGGGAGTTGATCTTGAAAACAAGGAAAACAAGAGGATTTCTCAATCAAATTGTGCTCGATGTGAATCGAAATGTGAATCGAAGAACATCGAAGAACTGGTGTTGCACGCAAATTCGCACATTCAATTCAAACGGGTATCGTTTATTCTATCATTCAACATGTTAAGAGCTCTTTAAGATTTGGTAACATGCAAATTGATAACAAATCAAATCTTGCAATTTAGTATTGCTGTTCAAAGTGCGACTACGAAAATCTTCAAAAGCATCAAATTGAGAGCCATATCACATCGAAACACGACGGTGATGCGGTGCTTGAGGATAAGATGTTTGTTGTAGAAATCTATTTTAGTAAAAGAATTAAGACAAAACTATAAATAGTTATTGAAACAAGAAGTGCTTTTAGCTCGGTCGCAATGATTGATGAACTCATAGCAATCACAAAGGAATGTTTTGCCGATATTGATGAGTGAGTGACTTTCAGCTAAAAGAATCAGATATAAAACTATTATAAACTTTTAAATTCGCTTTCAAACTTTAGACAATTGCTGAAAGGTTGGGAGGAGAAGAACTTGCAGCAGCTGAAGGCAAAAAATGATGATGAGGTGATGCAAAAAACGGCAACACCTTCTGGAGACAGTGGTTTGGATGAAGAGGTTAGTCATGAGCCTAAAATGACTGATATATTTGAAATACTTTGTGCTCATGTAGAAACAAAACCAATTCTTACTAAGAAACAAATGGAAAAATGGGTGGATTTAAAAGGGTTTGTCTAGAAAGTTGAGCACAAAGTTTACTTCAAAAGAACATCTGAAGCAGATGAAGTTACAGTTTTTTTTGTAATAGATCAGTATCAAACAGCTTGAATGATTCATTATCAGTAACAAATCCAATTTTAGTCACTTTCTGACGTGGAGGATCGAAGCATTGACGATGATGAGCCACCAAAGAAGAAAGTGAAGAGCATCTTGAAACAGGTGAAATGATATGATTTATACATTAATGTCTCAACGAAAAGGTTGTGTGTATTGCTTGAAATACTGATATCCATATAGCTTATACTTTGCCCTTATTTGATTAGGCTCGAAGATTGACAATCGACAAAAATCGTTTATCGAACCTAAAACTTTGGTAATTAAACCAATAAAAAACGAATAGAAACAATAGAAACAATAAAAACAATACAACTAATAAACGGGGAGAAACTTGGGACTCACCTACAAGATTGGTAAAAACAGAATGTTGCAAAAGGTGATGTTTACGGTATTTTGTTCAAGCTTTCCACCTTTTACGACAAGTTAGTCTATAACTTGCATGCAAATTTATAAATTCTGCGAATGGAGTCGCTACAATTAGTAAGCTTCACTTCGTTTTGTAAGTGACCAATACTGCTTTCAATATCTTAGCTGAAATGTTACAGGTCTCTTTTAATTCAAAAGAGCCAGCCGAAGAGAAACAATTTGAGAAACAAGAGGATGAAGATGCAAAAGTGAAGATGATGTGCTTGGAGAAGGTTTGTTTAAAAACTGATTAAGTTGCTGATAGTGTAATTTTATAATATCTGATTGACAGAATTGCGGCAAATCGCTAATGATCTACAACGAGAAGGGTTCATTTCTCTTCAAGACTTTGATCACACACATCGCAACTCACATCGTCAGCAAGCGAGTCAGTTTTAACCAAATTTTAATTGACTATCTGACTCTATGAACGATATTGTTTAGTGGAGGTGCTCAAACTGTCCATTCAATACGCTTATTCGGGGAAATTTCAACTCGCACAACAGAAATGAGCATGATATGCAAGCGGAACTCGTCGAGAATTTGTGAGTTTTTCTCTGCCATCAAAAAGCATGACAATCATGCAAAGATAACCTTGGTAAGACTAGCTAAAGTTTTAATCAAATTAATGTAGTGTTTAGAATTTCAAAATTAATTCTAGATCAATTCTTACAAAGCAATTCAGAAACACTTACCACACGCAAGAGCTTCTCGAGAAAGGCATTGAGTGTTTTCCGTCATTTGAGAGTGAAATCCGCCAACATTGTGATGACCTCAAAAAAGATGCTCTTGAGAAGGTAGAAATCAAATACTCTTTCTAAAATTGCAATGATACAGTTTTTAGTCAATGAAGAAAAAGCAAGAGGACTTCGAGACACCAAAAATGAATGGCAAGAAACGCGGAAAAGGTTAATTGAGGCTTTAAAACAAAACTAAATGAGTGATACCTTTTAAGTTTTTGTTTGCAAATCAGAAACAATCTTTTATATTCTATAAGAAATCGTAAATTCCAGCCACAACTCCACAAAGTGACACTCGAGCACAGAAGAGCACTGCCGAAGTGAAAAGGATCGGGCGTGGAAGGCCGCCAGGTACGAGAATTGCTTGAATTTCTTAGCAGTCAGTAAGACGCATAGAAAGACATTGTTATCTATTGTAATTTATATCTTACTATGTAATAACTTTCATTTAGTTTTTAGGAAAACAAAACATCAATCGAAAACGCTCCAAATCAGCCATAGCTGCGCCGTCGACTGTGAAGAAGAGAGAAGGTTCGAAAATTGGCTTTAGTTGATAAGCAATGCAAAATCACTTTGTGACATTTATAATTTTATCTTTCCAGTAAACTCTGCTCTTGTTCGACTCGTCTATTCCCCTCCAGTGCAAGTCGATGATCAAGAAATGGTGTCAACAGAGGAGAAGTTTCTCAAAGCGAAAGAAGCTCATGGTTGGTTTAAAGTTTGAATGTATCCGATGACACTAGGCAAGTGTCGAAGTTTAATCAAAAAATTCATTCGATCAAAATACTAAAAAAAGAAATTTAGAGCCAAAGACACCGACCGCTTCGCCAACAAAAGCACTTGAAGAGGTCACGCAAGAAACGCCAAATGCTGCTGAAGAAAGTGAGTGAACGTTTATAACTTAATTAATTTATAAGTTTAGAACATCAATTAGTTTGTTTTTTTTTTAAATTTACATAAAAATCGATAAGTTTGCTTTAGATGACGTCTTTGCAACACCAGTGGGCAACGGAAGAGGAAGAGGCGGCAAAAAGAAGTCGATCGGTGAGTTATAATCTTTTGAAACGTTAAAAGATTAATTAAAAATTGTTTAATTGTTAAACTCTAGATTTTGATGTCTACAAAACGCCAGCTGCTGTCATTGAAGAAAAGGAAAAGATCACCAAAATGCGGTCCAAGCTTCCCTCATCTCCAGCTGGGATTTCTCGGTGTCAGGTAAAACGTTTGATTCAAGAAATTATCAATTCATAGCTATCATCATTTGCTAGTTGATAATTATCTATAATTTTTCAGTGTTGTAATGAGGCCGTGTCTTTACGTGGCGGCAACATTCAACAATGCAATTACGCCACCGATCACGCACTCACACATCTTGACAAGGTGCGTTTAACAAGAAGCTAAGATTTTTTAATAAAACTAAACTAAAAGCTTTAAGCAAGTTTTAAGCTTTAATCTTGATTTAATCATTGTAATATTCTAATTTAGATTCGCTATAAGTGTGGACAATGCGAGAAACC